ATGAGGGAGGGGAACCCCAGGTGAACACAATAGGTAATCAAGACATGACGACGCACCAGACATTCCCCCAGACGTCCATCAGAGCTGAGAGATCCTGATGTCTTTCTGTTTCTGACCGTGTGTCTTTACGGAGTGGTGATGCTCCTGAGGTTTCCGGCTGATGGATGACTGTTGGGTCTAAATACGACTCCTAGTTCCTCACTATCAAGAGTTTAGTTATTAATCAATAGACCCAGGAAGAGGCATCAGAATAAAAAGGCTTGACACAGAGGATAAGTTTTTCTCAACTGCAGAAGAGGGAGAGACTGTGTGGCCAGAGAATGCCACACATCGAATCTCACTCACATTTTTCTAGCCGTTGATTTTTATTAGACTGATAGTTGCTAAGCAGTGTACATATTATGGGATAGGAAAGTATTGGACGTCATGCCCTTATCAGGTTTTTCCCGGTAGTTGGCCTGTTGACGTCCAGACCTTGGAAGATACAGATGGTAGACAGATGGGAGTCAAAACACACATATTTTAGCTTATCACTAATGTAAATACGAAAAATAGCTTCTACAATGACCCTCCGGTCCCCACGCGGGGGGGGACAGGAAAAAGCGCTCAGTCACGGAGGCATTGTGTGGCGCACGCCATCCATCACGGGCCTCCGGAGCCTCCTAAACCAGCCGCGCCAGGACGCACAAAGAGCTGCGCATTTCCCCGCGGCCTCGCCTCCTTCTCCGGTCGATAAACGCGGTGGTAAAGGACCTGGCCGCCGGCCCGTGGAGGCCCGCCAGAATCCGGATCGGTGCCGAGCAAACTGGACCGACGCGCAGAGCAACAGGCCGGAGAGCTGGAGACGCTCAGACGCACGGAAATAACCTCTGATCCGTGAATGGCACAGCTGCGGTCCAGCTGTTACGCGCGTGTGTGTGTGTGTGTGTGTGTGTGTGTGTGTGTGTGGGCAGTCCCTGCTCCGGCAAGCCAAGTTTATTTTCCAGCACATTTCCTGTACGAAACGATTCCAAGTGCTTTCCAAAGAATCGAAAAGCAGAAAAACAAAGAAAGGAAACAAATCAACTAACACGTGGGAACCAGGACCTTTCTACCAGAGGGTTCTGGGTTGGAGTCCCGGG